TGGTCGGTTTAGTCACCTTTTTGTGATATTGTGAAAAATGCTTTCCTCCTCTGTATAGGAATTACTGTGAGAATAGCTGAAGAGCACAGAGCTCCTCCCCACTAAAGGTCTCAACAATGAACTGTCTTCCTTGCACAGCCTGCAGCAATTTTAGCACCCATGATAAAATCCCAACCAGAACCCACACTGTGCTCTCTAAATGGCAAGTCACTGCTGAGAAACAGCACTCAAAACCCTTTTTGTCACCATCTCACAAACATAAGCCCATTTTATGCAAGATCTTAAAGAAAAAGCCTACTCTTTTCCACTGCAATTATCACCAGAAGCCTTCAGATGGTCAGTGCAGGATGCAAGAGTAATTCTCCTGCCTAGCAGCTGTAACACTTGGCCAGATTCTGCAGAGATTACAGCAATGGAGTGCCTGTCAGGGCAGCTTGCTCTTACTCCCTGCCCTTTCCAGAGGCACACATGACTACCACACCTATCATGCTTTTTAACATCACCTCTTTGCGAGGGAGCCAGAGTAGCTTATATCCCATTTCAAGAAGCCTCCTCAGCCCGCCTGCCAGAGACTGGTGATTTCCAACATGACCAGGGAGTAGAAAGCAGCTATAAAATGTTAATTTCTGTGTTAAGACTGAAAACAATTTGCAAAGCCTGAATTATTTTTAAAAATTATCACAGATTCAAAAGAAAGACATATTTTCAATAGACTTTAAAACCAGGAAGGATCACTGATCAAGTCTGACTCCTAGTAAAACACAGGTCAATGATTTCATCCAGTGAAGCCTGTGTCCTGCCCATGCATGCAAAATGAGCCTCCCAATTAGTACTGGTTAGAGCCTTCCAGTGCACTATCAGGAAATCCTGTTTCATTGGAAGTGAAATGTGTCAGCTCCAATTACCATTTCATTTTGAAAAAAGTATCAGTCTACAGATTTTTACAGGACAGGCCAAATGTAAAATTTTCTGTTTCACTTTTGTGATGGCTTTTTGTGTGTAATTTCTTGGAGGAATATAGAAGCATCAAAAATAAAATGTTTTGATGAATATTTAGCTTTCACATGAAAATTAAGTAAGTATGTTTACTCTCCTCTTCAGAAAAAATGGAAAACCTCATTCTCACAGTGGCATCAACAAACCAAATACAAGATCATACATAGACAGTAATGGGATTAGCAGATATATGGCAACATTCACACTCCCTTTTATGCAGTAACACCATGTTTACACCCACATGAGTAAAGGCAGTAAGGACAAAAGCCAGTTATGAGTCCCTCAAAATCTCTCAGAAAGAAACCCTTTGGCTAAAACACGTGTGTGATGTTCAGCCAGAAAAATGTGTTCTTCCCTGTATTCATATTCCCTCTATTCTACTGACGGGAAAGAAATGTCATTCTCAAGACATAAAAAAGACTACTTAATCATTGAAAGTTCTAGTGCATTTTCACACCCTGTGTCACAAAGCCTTGCTTACAGACATCAAATGATCTTCTAATTATTGAAACCTTCTTTAATTCAAGTTGCTTTGAGGCTTTCCCAGAGTGTTCAGAGTTTCCTTCTAAAGAAATTCCAAATTATGGCATAGCTGACTAAATGAACCTGCATGAGCTACCCCAGCTTTTGGCCGTCTGGGGCAATTGTAAAGAAGCTTCACAGTGCAGTGCATTTTCAGGCATAACACGTACCAAAGATTTTCTCCTTTGTCCATTTTCTTATTTTGCCCCTTGAAGTTACTTATCATCACAATTATCATCACAATTTTCCCCACAGAAATTTCAAAGAATTTTAATTTAAAGAGGGATTTTCAGGGGGAAAATTATTATTCTTCTGTGATCTTCCCTACCCCTCGAATAAAAAATGTAAATAACCAAAAATCAAAACAAACACAAACAAGCCTAGACATTTGAACTCCACAGGAAGGGTGGAGGGAAGTGTACAATTTTGAACTGGGTTCCAATTTTGAAAGCAGAACTGTGCATTAAATATCAATTTTAACATTTTTCTGCTGTGTATGAATACAAAGTTCTCATCCTGTCACTTTCAGCCCTAGTGACCCTGTCCCTACAAGGACTCCACAAAGTTTTCCTTCCTGAATAGTAACTTTCTAGGAAGCTGAGCTCGAGCACAAGGAGGCTCTCCAACAGTGACACCACACTGGGACAAGTGCAGCTGGTGGTCCCAAGGACAAAGGACATGGAGCACTGAAGGAACTCGAGCATTGAGTGCACCCAACTTTGAAACACGCTCTCTCTTGATATGAGCCCGAATTTCCAGCACCATAGTACCCTTCAATATTTATGTATTTCAGGTGTTTGGTACTGTGTCAGGAGACAGGAAAATCTGAACAACCATCAACATATTCCTCAGATATGTTAAGAGACATAAATGAAAGCCCAAAGCTTCTTTGTCTGAAAGAGCAATTTTCTGACTTCAGAATTTATGCTGTTACTCATTACTAGAGTATGTGAGAACACTCCAGTTTAAATCAGAGGGAACAGAAAAATCTCTGGTGGTGGCAGTACTTTTTGAACCTCCCTACTTGAAAGTTGAACATGTACCTTGCATCCATAAAGATATTTTATTTCATCTGAGAGCAGGCAACTGTGCATTGTTAATGTTTGCAAGGACATTAAGGTCACACAGGTCAAAACCTGTGCTTGTATTAAGCTGGAGTAGCAATGATAGAACATCAATTAATTTGACAGTACAGGGAATGAGCCACAGAGGGCCCACAAACACACAATGCACTGGTTTTAAACATTAATTTCTGTTCCCACATTTGCAGCTGCCAGACATGCACTAAGTTCACCTTGATGTTGCAAGGAAGTAAGGCAGAAAGTCCATATGAATGGTTATGAGGGGAATAGTTGAGGTCAAACAATGAACTGTGTCAGATAAAGGCAGCATTGCCACATCTGAACTCAGTGGTAACCATTGAAAACCACCCTGGGCTACCTTTGGCTGTTCACCTAGAAAAGCAGGGAGTTACAAAAAGGGGGTAGGCTGGCACCTGCATATGGAATGGGGCCCCCTGCATTTTGTTTGGGAGTCCCTCTAGATTTAAGATACTTAAATCCTAATTTCCAATCCAGCTACCAAGAGATCTCTAAGCATCCCTGATACAGAGAGCATGGAAAGTTACCAACTCATGCCTTACTACACCAAACACAGCTATTATAGCACCAAATACAGCTTTTATCAACACCAAGAGTCAAACCACTAGCTGTCCCACACTCCACCCTCATTAAGCCTGTCCACCTAAGGGGGGTGACAAAAGAAGGACAACTGTGGCAGAGGTAAGCATCAAACTGAAGGTATCAGGTGCTTACACAGAGACATAAGCACAACTATTGGTGATCCCTCAGGCATATTGCAGGGGAATGCTTTACTGTGGGGGTCCTTGGAAACTCAGAGTGGAATGGGACAATTTTTTCTCCTGCCTGAGCTTCCCTGTGACTTGCCTACATGCAGAAACCTCCTATCCAGGAAAACCTGTTGCAGGCAGTGCAAAATGGGTCATTTTGTTAAGCTGAGTGTTTTCTGCATTCCTGGCCATTTGCCACTATGGCAAATGCAGTGAGAGATAGGAAACTCCTCAGACTTGTGGGAATGACACCTCCAAAGTTACCTCAGGGACTTTTCTAAAAAATACAGAACTTGTTCTGCTCTCAGTTACATCTGTGTAACCCATTTGACATTTCTTCTACATTCACCTCTAACACAGCGAGGTAGCTAATGAGCTCATTAAGTGCTGGACTGTGACTTGGCTGAAAAATAAGTAAACAAATTAAATATTAGACACTCTGCTACACCAGATGAGATCCTGAGACAGGATCATTGTATTGTATTGAAGATTGTATTGTATTGTATTGAACACAGCCTTTAGGAAGAGAAGGGGAATTTCCTCAGGTTCTGGGGTGGAAAATCCTTTGCATATTCCCTTGTGCTGCGTTTTGTAGGCTGATTTTCTACCAGGCAGACACACTGGACTCCAGAGATAGTGCATGTATTCCAGAGAGGCTGCATTCATGTAAAGACAAATGGGTGAATTAGATAAAATCATTTTCAGCCTTTTCACATAAGAAGCTTGGGCTTGATTGCAAGCGTCAGGCTCATAAGCATGCTCAGGAACCTGACAGCAAAAAACACAGATTTTATACATATATATATATATATATATATATTTGTTTGTGAATTGCTTAGGGCATGACACAAGGACCTGTTCAAATCAGTGCAAAGATCCAAGCCAGCCCTCAAGGAGGCCCAATCGAGAGATTAAAATGAAGATGCAATAGTGTGTACAGGTTCTCCTTAGATCAGCCCCACCTGGTTGAGATGGTGTGGGTGATCAGGTGAGGAAGCTTACATCATCTCCACATCTAACTGACAGATTAAACATTTCTGAGAAGTGACTCAAGCCTTTTTACATGGAATCACTGAGCAATTTCTTTCTAACTGCTGTACTACTACACTTACACCCCACTAACGTGGGTAGTGGAGCAGTAAGCTGACACACCAACTCCACTGGAGTCACTTAGAAACAGAATGAGAGCATTGGCTCAGCCTTATTGGAATAAATACCTATTAGCTTTTTTTGTGAGTATTACTGTCATCAGTGATTAATTGGAATAATGAGCCATGACAGGGAGCTAGCAGAGGTTCCTGAAGATGAAAGGTATATCATACCACAGAGAGAAAACCACTAGCCTTTACAAAAGACATTCACTGTCTCTAGGGAAAATAGAAATAGTACAATTAGAGGCATACAGTAGACATTATCCCCTCCCAGAATATAGTTTTGGAGTATGAAAAAGTGGCATTTCACCCAGGGATTATGAAACATTCAGTTCTGAGACAGTGGAGATCATTTTCAGCAGCCTTCATCTGGTATTGCATTTTATATGACATAGGAATTTAAGGGCTTAAACACTATCAGTGGGGTACATGAACAGAAATTCATACTCACATACTCACACAGAGACCATGTAGAAGTATGACCCCTCTTTTGCAATCTCATGGCTCTGCTTCCCCCTGTCCAAAGGTAAAACAACAGGAGCACACCCCTACTGCACCAGTTTCTCTCTGGGCTCTGTTCCTCCTTTGTGATGTTATATTCATACCCAATTGTTACAACCAAAAGAATAAATAAAACATTTAAAATACACACAAGTCATCTTGTTCCCCAGCAGCATGTGATGTTCAAATACACTCAGAAACACAGACATCAGACTCATGGCTTCCCTTTACAGCTGGGCTGCATAATTCCTCTAAGGCCCAACCATAAAGTTCCCTCCTACCCTGAACCCTAATGAATTCCTGTATTTCACAAGGGAATCACATCTTTTGTAGAAGAAAATATTTCCTTCTGCTGCTTCTACATTTGCAGCTTTCAAATTTCTGAGTGTTTGAGGAGGAAAGATAAATAAGAGCATGTGATTTATTTTCCTTAGCTTGACAGAAAGTGTGGTCTGAATGAGAGATTAGGGCTCCAGATGCTCTTCAAAATCATCAGTCACTGCTTTCAATGGACATACAGCTCTTTTAAAAAGGAAATGTTTCCACAAGTCCTTTAGCTGAGGGCCAAACTTCGAAAGCTTAACCTTAAATGTGAGCATCTTCTCAAAACTTCCCCTTAGCCTTTACAGTGGGTCTGACACTCTCCAGCCCTCTCACCCACCCTCTTCACTGACTTCTGCTGGGTGTGTAACTTAGATTTCAGCAGCACCTGGTGCTGGCCAGAGAGAATACACAGTCTGCTGGCACTCCTTAGGGAAGGCTTGCAAAGGCAGAAGTGACTGTCCCAGTCACTCCCCATGACTGTTGACAGTAATTATACATCAACCCACACCTTTCTCTTCCTGGCAATACTATCTGCATCTATCAATTAAAACTGCTGAGTTCTGTGCCAGGAGCCCAAGCCTGGGAGGAAGACCCTGAGAGCTACCAAAGATAAAGAAATCTTGAATGTTGAGTGCTGCCTACCTTCTCTTTATCTAATTGTATCAAGAAAAGTTTCATAAAGAGAGCCTGACTCACTTCTCACACTTGTTAATTAAATTTTGTTTCAGCGGTAGTTCAGTGTTAATACTCCTCCCTTACAATGTAATGTAAGGATTTTTTAAGTGAAGGTCTTCATAAGAAAACTTACTGAGAATAGAGAATACCATCCAGGATTTGACTGAGTGACATTCTGACACATAAAGAATGGACAAAAACCAAGGATGGTTTCTTCCCAGATCAGCCCACAGCCCAGCAAATTAACACATACCCAGTCCTGAGAAACTCAGGTCAGATGTTTGGTTTTGGCTCCTGAGGGCATAGACTGCAGCCTTTTTCTTCACCTCCAGCAGCTGCCAGCTCCACTGTTTGATGGGTTTGGTATGGATGGCCTTATGCTTGCTGTATGGGGAATAGAACACAAAACGTCTCAGGTTAACCCCAGAGTAAAATGAGAATTATATTTTATTTACCAAAAACATTGGCATGAAATGGAGAACCATTTCCTGTGAGGTCCTGGGTAAGACACAGGACTATTTTGAACAGGCAAGTGTTGAGGAGACAGAAAGGACACAGTGACTGTGCCATTGAAAGAAAGGTTGCTTATCTGCTGCATCCCCTGGCCAGGTGGCTCCAATTGTGCTCACACAGAAAATGCCACACCTCTTCTTCCCACCTTTTCAGCAGTCCAGTCCTACCTAAGCCCCCCTGGCAGGACACCTGCAAAAGAAAGGGATTTTCTCAGGTTTAGAGCTAGCCTGATGCAGAAAAGCTCATGAGATTCTGAGTTTGGTTCTTGCAGACTCTTGCTTTTTGCTCTGCTGTGTTGATAAGCACGGATGCACATTCAGGCACTCCCAGAGAGGAGTCTTACAGCAGCATGGTGTGCCCCTGACTGAGGCTGAGCACAGCATCAGAGGAACAGATGTGATGTCAGGTACACTGCTGCTGTAATTAATCAGCTGCAATTACTGTTCAGATACATTGACATCTTATTTGACCAGCAGCACCACGAGCATGAAAGGGCTCCCTCAGCACACAGTCAGCATGATTTTACTGTATGGATGAGATAAAGCATAATAAAGCAAGGGAATATTTGCAAGGAAGAGCCTAAGACTTGGAGAGAATTAGAGTTTTGTTCCCAGCTTTACCACAGACCTCATCTGTGACTTGGAGTGAATCACTTCATTTTTATCCTGTACAATGGGGATTCTCCCTCCTCTTTGTTACTCTTATCAGTTTAGGGAAGAGTACCTGACAGTGTGAAGGCATCTAACAGCCAGCATACAGGCACCTTAAACCAGTTAAGGGCTTTGAGATGTCTCTCTAATAGTAAGAAGAAAATCTCCTTTGATAGATGTATTATACTGTTCTGCCTCATAAACACATTTGCTTGCATAACATTAATCAAGATGTGTTTTTTTCTTAGATATTTTATACAAAAAGTATCATGTTAGCATCCTGGGAACTCGGAAGATCTACTGGGTAGGCATCCACATTTGTGAACCAAGTAGAGCAAGACTGAGCACATCCTTCTTAAGGACCTCTCTTTTAGCCACTCACCTCCTGTAGTGAGCCATGGGCATCAGATGTTGAGGCAGTGTGGGAAAACCTGCAGCAACTGAGCCTCTCTTCAGAGAACAGTAGGTATCACTCAAATGTTTTGCCAGTGTTAAATGCAAGGAGACCCTACGGTCTCAGCTGAATTAGAGGGTTGGTCCTCCACAAAGGCTGTCTTTACCAGCATGTTCTACTAAAATCTAAATTTCTGAGCCGCTGATTTTTCCAACAGCAAAATCTTAAAGTCTGCCCTTAACTATCAAGACAACCTTATCTTCATGATGTTTGTGTTTTGGAAAGAGACAAACTGACTTGCATTTACTGTGTGCTGTTCCAGCCCACCACCATTCTAGCACTGCTGAATGTGTGAGTTCTGACTCAGGAGAACATTTTCATTTGAGCCATGCACAGGGGTTCTCTATGAAATAAAACCCTGCAACTCCAAATAACTCTTTGTTAACTTCAAAGCCCTGGCAAGAGCTTTGGAGCTCACAAGACACACTAAGAGCTGGCAGCTGGGACTATCAGGCTGACAAAGAAGCCTCCTGGCCACACTTACCGTGTAAACAAGAAAGGTCAGATCATTCTCCTATGGCATATGACACTGATACTGCTTCCCCACGGGGTAACTATTGGGTTACATGGACTGGCATGACCCAGCCTCTGCGTAGGAAAGTGAAGAGAGCTGTACACACCACACTCTTCTTTTGTAGGCCTCGCAAAGCAAAGCCTGATTGATGGTGTGGCTTTCTAGTGACAGTGCACAGAAAATACCTCCGGCCATGCCCTTTCCTGAAAAGGTGAACACTGCCATTCGCCCTCCTGAGAGAGAAATCTACACCTCAGGGCCCTGGCTCAGCTAAACCAGCAGCTGGCAAAAGCCCCAGCAGAGGAGAAAAGTGACTGTGAGCTGCTCCTCCAAGGCTGATCTCTCACAGGGACATTTCATGACAGAATGAGGATAGCCCAAACGGCTTTGCTTCATCCTTTGCCATTGCCTGTCTTCTCCACTGCTGTTCCACCCTGTCCTGCACTTCTCCTCTCTGCAAGGAGGTGGGACCCATCTCAATTATGGCTTCTGAAGGCAGGGATGTTTGCTCCACCTTTAAACAATGGCAAGCACCCTGCTCCCAGGCCCAGCAACATTAACCCTGCTAGTGCAGTTCACTGGGAGAGTTCAGGTAAGAGTGGGATCCATAGGGAATGAGTCACATAAAGGTGAGGTGAGCCAGCAGACCTGCAACACCACCAGGCCTCCAGATCATCAGAGGAAAAAAATGTGAAGTACATATTGCAAAATGTGCTTCTCGCAGACATGGAGTCACTGATAAACAATCCTCAAACACTGTTGTTCAAACAACACTTGAATCATTCTCTGACTCAGTGATCAATCAGCGACACAAAGAACAACAGTTAGCTAAGACAGCAAAAAATGTAAAAGCAGTGAGCCAAGTGTGGCATTCCCTGCTTAGACTTTAATGAGCTGGGTCATAAAATTACTGAAAAAGTCACTGTTCAGAATAAATCCCCTACAAAGCTATAACAGTGGAGCTTACACTAGAAAATGTTCATCACTGCTTTGCAGTCAATGGCAATTCTTAAAGTGGGATAGCATTTATACCTCTGTCCAGTTTCTCCCAATCTTCATGTGTTTTTACCTGACACTTTTCTATTTTCTCACTCTTGATTAATGAGCACTGAGAATCTCTCTCAAAAGAGCTGTCAGGATCAGAATACATCTGCTCCAAAAGCAGGAAAAATAATAATAAAATTAGGAGAAAAAACTTAAGTATTGCTTAAGTGTTTCATTTTTGGGCTTTGCTTGGCAAACTCCTTCAATGAGTTAAAAGTGAAACAAAAAGAAGTTGCCGTGGAGAAATCCACATGACTATTGGCTCAGAGCAGTTCCCATTTGCCTGATAAAAAAAATGAAAGTTTTTCAGTAAATGACAAAACAGATATGTATGTCCATGACAGAAATTACCCATTTCTGTAGTTGCCCAAAACGATCAAGGCATGACCACACAGTTTTTTCATTTTACAGAAGTAGTTTTAGTCACTGCTTCACCACAGACAAGCAAGTCAGCAATTTTTAAATTATATTTAATTATAAAAAAAAAAATTAATTATAAAAAGCCCAACATAAGCATCCAACCCTCCCCAACCAATCCCAGCACAAGTTTAAACAACCCTCCTACGGGATTTAGGTATTTTTCTCTTGAGCAAAACAAAAGCTGCTGATCTTTGGAAACACTGAATACAGCCATGCCCATTTACATCCTAAGATGTTAATGTCCTTAAAAAAGGACTAAAAACTACTTGTGTGATTAAAAGGGCTGCAAGGCCAGGTTTTGTATTTTTAACCAAAGTAACTCCAGAAGTCAGTGACAAAGCAGGAATTCAACCTCTGAGCACCTGTCCAGCACTTTAATCCCCTGGCAACCCCCCCTGTCTGCCTGATGAAAGCAGGGTGAAGTCCAGAAGACGCACGAGGGAATCACGTTGTCCAGGTCAGCCCAGATGTGCCACCAGCCACTGCTGACATGCAGCCCGTGGTGATGTGAAGGAGGACAGTGTGCTCACACCTGGGGTCCTTCCCCAACAGGCACCTGCAGGGAGCATAAGGTACCCAACAAGTGAACCCAGGCAGCCCAAGGAAATAGCAAACTCCATTCTACAGTGAAAGGTTTTTATTTGCCCTGGCGCTATGGTGAACTGATAAGAGAAACTTATCTCTTCTCACAACACCAGCCTGATGGAAAGAAACAGAGTGCCTGCCACCCTTTCAGAAACAGTTTCGTGCTACATTTACTTTGGACAGTGACAGTGAAGAAGAAATTGGGAGCATCTGAGGCTTTAAAAACCACACAGGTTGAGAAGACCTAGGGAGGAAGGTGGTCCTGGGGTGAAGCCCCATGACAGGGCTCAGGAGATGGTGGTCTCCCAGCTGCAGCAGAAGCCTCAAAGCTGGGCAGTCACTCCATCTCTCTGAGGTAAGAATGGAGGGGGAGTTCCTCTCCCCCTCTCTCACTTTCCCCCCACCAGAGGTGAGGTGAGGATAAGCTGATGAACACACACAGGGCTTCAGTCCTGCAGGGATAAGCAGCAGAAAGGTCCCACAGACACAAGAGAAGAAGGAGGCCAGCTGCAGCTGCCAAACCTGAGCACGCATCCAGACCCCAGCAAGAGCTCCCCATGGCTTTTAAAGGACCTGTTCTCTTAGGGCTGATTTGTTTATTCCCAACCCAATATGTTATCTTTACATCGCAAAGTTTATTTCTGAACATGTCAACACACTTCTGAAAAGGTCAGACATATGAGGGCATGCACCCGTGGTGGTGCACAGGGAGGCACAGGCACAGCTGCATTCCTGGAAATCACGATTCGAAGGGTTTTCACAGCAAAGTCTGACACAGCAGCTGGGTTGGCAGACACACGTAGGCAAGCCACCAGCCTCCCCCTTTTGTTATCACTCCCATTTCATTTCTGTGCTTTGCATGAAAATCTGAGGGTTGTTTCTAAGTATAGGTTTTGCTGGCTTTGTTTGAAAGCTTGCCATAGCTCTCAGACATGATAACACCAGCAGGGTGCTAGCTGAACTATATTTATCGATGTATTTCATAAAGGAAAAACTTAAGTGCTTTTGAGAAGTTGAGGTCTTTTATCCCTTTCTTTTCTTTGCAGCAGACAGCTTAGTTGTCACCCTGACAAGTAAGATATTACTAGAAGAGGAGACCCAGGATCTGTTTACAGGCAACAATGTTTTGCATAAGCAGCTCACATTTAAATTAGACTTGAGAAATGTGGTTATTCATTTTTTTCTGTCTTTTTCTTGTTTTTAAATAAATAAAAAAGAAATTCCTTTGGTTCCTCTCATCCCTCAGCCTGCAGCTCACAGGTTATCCATTGACTGTGACACCAGCAAAGCCAGCTGATGGCTGGGGATTGCTGTCTGCTCACACCAGGAGCAGTGCCAGTGCCCAACCCACACCTTTAAACAAGGGACTGCAAGTAGGGCTGTTTAAAGT